TGGTAAATATGCTGTGATCAGTGTGGGACTGGGCAGCGTGTTAAGAGCTGGAATATTCAGTTCTGTAAGAACATCTCCATCTTTGCATTGGTTTAATGTAATATTTGCCAGTTCTGGAAGATGAGCAAAGAATGTTTGCTATGTCAGAAATGACACTGGAAGTTCAGGCAGATCTCCCCCCCCTCCCCTGTATATAGGTCCAGATTTAATGTTCTGAACTGGGATGATTAGTTCTTCCCACACCTTAGCCAACAGAAGCACATTTCATTTGGATTCATTGCTTTCAAAAACAACTGCTTTCCTTGTAAATACAGGTTCTTATTCATGTAGAAGCACTGCCCTTAAAGTCTATTAGAAAGAGTTTCAAAGTAGATTTAACCAGTGTTTCTAAAACCCTAAAAGCAGAAGGGAACGAGGGAACTTGGGCTTGCATGTACACTCACACGTGTTATAGTGCTGTATGATTTTTAAGCTATTCATAAGGAATGAGATAAAGAAAAACATCAATATATATGCAGTATTATTTTTACTAACTTGTCTTCTCTCTACTTCTTTAACAGAGTGGCCAGGTGTATTTCATTAATGATGGTGAAAAATACAACATTTTTGAATGGTTAACTCCACTTGTAAGTGCCATAAATACTCATCTCCAAATACATCAATTGCTTTAACTGTATTGTGGCTACTTTGGGTGGACAAAAATATAAATCTTAAGTATTAATCTGTAATGTACATTCTTTTCAAAGTACCATTTTATTTTTAATTATAGACTCAACACCATAAATATGTCACAGTGTAAAATTAGGTATCAGCACACCATGACATTTCAATCAGTTATTGTAATTTTTTTCCCTTTTTCTAAAGCTGATACTTGAACATTACACAGTGTCTGCCTGTGACATTTAACTGGAATGCCCTTAAAAATGAAAAATAGTAACAGCAATAACTAATTTTTCTGTTCTATCAGTAAATATTTCCACTAATATTTTCTATAGCGAAAATTTAAACCTTGTTTGAAGTTTCTGAGTTTTCCACTGGTTTTTTTATTCTCTTTCAGTTTGAAAGATTAGGTCGCTGGAAGCCATGGATACGTATTCCTACTTGGTTGGTTTATGCCTCAGGTAAAACATTTTATCAATATTCCTCTTTCCTGTCCATGCTACCCTCATTCCTAACTGTAATATAATGTTGAGGTTTTTAATTTGCCCACAATTTCCATTTTCATGTATAAAAACAACATGCTATGGGCTCATCTGGTGTGCAGCATGTGAAATTCAGCTCTGCACAGTGAGTTGAAAACAGAACGATCTCTTATTGAAGTCCCAGAAAAACAGGGTTTATGTAGGATTTAACAGATGTGCAACTTTGTGGAGTTAATGGTGAAAGTATTAAAAGTTAAATGTGAAAAGCCATCACTTCCTGAAATATGCTGAAGAGTATCTGCTTTGCCTCATGAGTGAACATCTTCATAATCAATCCCCATGTGCAGCTCAGACAGAATCCCACTGAGTTCTCTGTTGTTGCCACGTTTTTTATAAAGTCTCATAACCTTTTCATTTGACCTGTGCCCAACCCTCTTCCCACAAGGACAATAATTAAGATTAATAGCCTGCTGATGTTAGCGATGGTGCCCTGAGCCCTCAGGCCTGTGGTGATCCTTGAGGAGTATTTACAGTGTGACATATGCCACAGTCATCACGACAAAGCACGTCACTGCTCTTACCTCAAGTAGAAATCTTTTGTTCTGCAGCCATGGCAATGGAATACCTTTATCTGACGCTGAAACCAATTGTCGAACTGTCCCCAGTGCTGACCAGAAATGAGGTAAAGTCTGTGTTTGTAAACGTCCCTTAATTGCCACGGGTTTAATGCATGTTAATACTGATTTACGCTTTAAGTCAGGAGAAAGTAAAACCCAGCCAGTGCTACTTCAGCTTCCACTTTCCAGAGCAAATCCATGTACAATTTAGGCACTATATTATGCTTGTTGCCATGATTTTTGAAAAGGTAAGAGCTTGTGCTTGCAGTGGGGGAGAGGCTGCTTCAGCTCCTTCCTGCCAAGGCTTTGTATAGTATCCTGCATGGCTTTGGCTGGGGCCTTGGAGGCTGAGAGATGGCTTTGATCTGCCCTCTTGGGTACATAAGGGAACATTTGCAGAACATTTTTTGTGAATGTTTTCAAGTCTTACAGATTCTGTTCTGCAGCTTTTACTGCCTGTTTGGGCTTTCTCCTTTTGAGTGAACAATTTAAAAATAATGTGATGTATGTCAATAGGACACAGATATAACATTGGGGGGGTTATTTTACATTTCCTTTGACAGTGTCTTTGCTACCATTTACAGTTTTTTCCAATTGCCAATATACTCACACCTTTGTATGTTGACTCTTTTGCCCTGTAGGTACTAAATATTTCTGTGACTCACACATTTCGAATAGACAAGGCACGGGCTCAGCTGGGGTACAGGCCAAAGAAGTTTGTGTTTGCTGATTCCGTGGACCACTACATTAAAACCAGACCAAAAGGCCGGAATCATCACATTCTCCTCAAAGTTTTGATTGTTTTCATTGTTACTTTCAGTTTCATCTGTGTTTCTTTAGGATTTTATGGCCTCTCAGTTTGGCGTTCTCTCAGAGAACGAAGACACTGACTGGCCTAAGCTGCACACAGTCACAATATTGCCACCAGGATCACTCCAATCTCCACAACAGTCACTGGCCCCAGTGCAATAAACAGGCAGTTATTTTTAGATGTGCAAACAAAATCATAACATATCATTAGCTGTACCTGAGAAATTAAAATACAGTAAACCACGATGGCCAAATCACCAAAACAGAGCAGAGTCAAGATTGTTGCCTCTATTTCACATCAAAAAGACAACTTTCCAAATTGATTGCTGAAGTGAATGAGAACCTGCAGAAAGAATAAGAGCTACAGCCAGCTGAAATAAAAAGACTGACCACAGCTGCTGACGTGACTCACTGACACTACCTTGGGGAACAGAGGAACCAAGCAAGGGACAGCCAGAACAGGCTTCTGGGAATAACACACACGAGCTGCAGACAGACTTCCCACCGTGTGAATTGGTGAATTAGCTGTATCACTGCATCTGAGGGAAAATAAAAGTGTACTTCAACCTTTGCTGAAGCGTGTGTTGTGCCTCTGAACGCTGCTCCAGAACTGCCCCCTGCCCTGCCCCTGGTGCAGAGCCATCTGTGACAGCACCTCGCAGTTCACAGGCTTAGGGGGTACATGCTGTTTTTCACAAGTCAGAACGGGGTATTTTAGTTAAATTGGAAGTTACTAACAAAGTTATTTAAGCTAAGTGCATTTATGTCACAGTAGAGGAATCTGCCCCTACAGGTTGCTCAGATCTTTGCACAGCTTCCTTCACCTCCTGTACCTATTGAGGACAACAGCTAACAAGAGTTCAGTTGCTTCTCAGCTGACCTTCAGGTGCAAGTGTGGTTTTGCACGTTATTTCTTAAGTGCAGCAGTTGTACTGAGCAAATCTCTACAGCCGCTAGGGTGAGCAAAGTGCTTCTGAATTACTGTTCAGGTAAAACGGGTGGTCCGGGAGGCCCTGCCCACCTGCCGCTCACGGAGGGAATTTAAAACAGAAATCCCCTTCCCATCTGCACCTTTTCCAGCCTGGGGAGGAAAAGGTATTCTCTTCCACATGAGAGAACAATGAAGAGTGTGGTGCGAGAAGGAGAGTTTGGGAAAGGACTAGGCATGAGGTACAGAGGAATCACGGTCGGGGGCGGGGCGGAATAATCATAGATGGATTTGAGAAATCTGGAGAAGGTGAGAGCGCTGACACCTCCCCTCGGTCCAGGGCAGGGAGCAAAGCCCGGGGGCGAGGTAATTCAAACACAGCGAGCGAGGGCAGAACTGCCGAAATTAGAATTTCTCTTCTTATTATGAAGCAAAAGACAACCATGGGAGCCTATCCACTGTTCCCAGTACTTACCGCAATGCCTACTCTTGGTTTTTGACGCGTGTGACCGGCAGCTCCCCGCACCCCTCGGCCCCGGGCCACCCCCGCGGCCCCGCTGTGAAAAGGAGCCGCCGCCGCGGCGGGGACAAAACAGCTTGGCAGCGGTGGGATTCGAACCCACGCCATCGAAATGACTGGAGCCTAAATCCAGCGCCTTAGACCACTCGGCCACGCTACCGCCTGGCTGTTCAGCCGCCCGCCAGGCCTCTTTCACCGCGACGGCCCCGTCGCTCTCCCCATCGACCCCCGCAAGTGGCTCACCCGTGTCTGCGCCACCACAGCGCCCTCGGGCGCCCGCCCCGTGCCGGGGGCGCGGCTGCTGCGGCGGGCACGGCCCCGTCGCTCTGCCCGCCCCGGGCCCCGCGGGCTCCCCGACAGGTGGCGCCGCCCGCACGCGTGTCCCGCGCTGACCCCGCACGCCGCGGCCCCGGCTCCCTCCCCGCTCCCTCCCGCGGGGCCTCGGCCGTCGGGCCGCGCCTCGTCCGCGGCAGGCGTGGGCCGGCACCCCGGCAAAGCGCTGCCTCCCGGCCTTTCCCCACAGCGCCTGCAGCGGCGGCGGATCGGCTCCAGCCCGTCCTCGGGAGGGCTTTGCCCGCCGGCGCGGATCTGCCGCCGCAGGGATAGCCTTGCCATGGTCACGCAGGGTCGAGGGCAGCCCTTCGCAGCTGCCAGGGCAAGTGCGCGCACACCTCCCAGCCAGGAAGAGGGTCCGTCCTGCCCCACATCAGCCCCCCCGCGTTCTCTGCCCGCTGCTCTCAGGGAGGCAGCGCCTCCCGCCCACCACAGCACAGGTGCTGCCCACAGAGCTGCCAGCTCAGCTCTCCAGTGACCTTCCCGGCCAGCTGCTCACTTGGCACCGCTGTGTGTCTCCAGCTGAACCATTCCCACCCAAAACGCTGGGCCCCGGCCGCCTTTATCTGGGTGCTGCTCCACAGGCAGCTGCGGAGTTGGTACTAGTGTAGTCGGTGGCCAGGCTGTTCCTGCACAGCTCCTGTCCCGCTCTTTGGTGCCTCTCTTACCTGGTGCCGCCGGGCTCGGGCACGGTGTGAGAGGGTGCTTGTCCTGTCCACCTCGATGAGGGAGCTGGGTTTGGCAACCAGAACCAGATTCAGGCTGTCACTGGTGAGTAGAACGATGAATTCTCATATTCTGGGAGGCCTATGGGAAAAGTTTGTATAATTACTTTGTGGACAGAGCTGAAAACATCAGGACTAAATGGCATGCAATTAAAACAATATGAAGAAATTATATCTACCATAGCCCTTCTCCACATAGGAAGTCCTGAATTTTTGTGCACATGTATTTGTTGTACCTGCCATATGGATATTTATGACCAACTGGATTTACCTTTTAAGACAGGACTGTCACAGGCACAAATTGTCGCAGGATTAAACTGATTTACAAGCAATTTTTAAATCTGGCTTTTCAAATGAATGCAGAACAAAATTGCTCGGAAAGTTTGTGTAATATATCTGGGGTGTGCTTTCCTTTTTCCTTTCAAAAACCACTGTTCCCTAGAACAATGATTTCTAAAGGGAACCTTATTTAACATGGGCATACTGGAACTTTACAAGCTATTGTGCTCTTGGGAAAAAAATATATGCAATGCTGAATATACTCAATGAAAAAACAGCATACTACACTTGCAGGTCACTAATTTCCTAGGTTGCCATTTCAAATTTAATTTGTCATATTTTCAAAGAAAAAAAAATGTGATTCAAACCCCTTCAGTGTTAAGGATATAATAGGTAACATATAAATAGAAAACTAAAACTAGAAAATACAGCATGTCTGGGCCGATATCTGATTTCAACATACATCTTTAGTATTTCATCAAACACTTTTTCATCATCACTGATTGTTCTTTTAAGAGGATATTGTAGAGGAGAAGCCCCAGGCTTAAATCTGAAACTAGGTATGCCCTTGCATCAGAACTGGCTTATTTAAAAGCATGAGATGTGTAGCTTGAGAGGGTATATCCTAACTACATTCCTGATAGAGCAGGACATACCATGAGGATTTATGGCATGATACAGCCATGTGCCACTGGGTTCCTTTTAGTCCAAGTGGTGCAGAGTGTTTGCCTGAGCTTAAAGCCAGCTGCTCCTGTGACTTGTTCAGTTGTGCTCACGTATCACACCAGTATTCTGCTGTTATCAGTAGCCTACCATAACAGGTGGTCATTTTTTAACCATTATCAACACATTTTCATGCTGTGGGAACCAGACATCTGGCCTCCACTAGGCCTTCAGAATTCATTTGATGAGTGTGTGCCCTTCCCAGGCCCTGCCGTGAGGCATCCCGACGCCAGCCCTGCTGGGTGCTGCTCTCCCTGGGGCGCTCAGCTGGGCTGCCCGCAGAATGAGAAACGGGGAGACACAAGTTCTAGTGCTGATGGGGCAAACATGCTCAGTTTTTGATAATCGTTAATATTTACCACCCTGATTTGCAGCTGGGAGATGAATAGGAGGTTTTCCTGCACAATCACAAACATCGTAAATGTGTTTGAGCTTAAACTCTGCAGGAATTTGAGGCTGGCCAGGAATGGGCCTGTAGGAAGCAGCATTAGATGGGGAGCTCTGTCAAATCTCTGCTTTACATTCTCAAAGGAGGGCTGCACCCTCAGCATGGTGCTGGAAATTGCTGACAAAATGAGTTATCCTGAAAGCACGGGTGGTGTTCATGCACACACGTGCTGCTCCCTCCAGTCTTCAAGCTAAGACACAGTTTAATTTATGTAAGTAATGGTGGTGGCAGGCTGTTCCTGGCAGAAAGTCAAAGCATCTGCTCTGTGTGTTTTTAATTGAATATTGGTAACTTCCTCCTGAAGATTATCTCAGCACTAGCACTGCAGCAGCCTTCCTCTGTTGCCTCCCTCTTTGCAGAGCACAGGGATTGTGCATTTTTCTGTCTGTGATACCACAAGAGACCATCCATCTGGCGTGAAGGACGTACTCACATCTTCCAGTCTCGGTTCTGTAACCCCTACTCATGGTAAAAACCACTAATGAGGTTTATTTACATGAATAAGAGATTGAACAGCAGTAGAAGAGGCAGACTCTTTGCAGGCTGCCAAGTAATACAATTAAGCCAGAACCTATTTACATTAATTTCCATGTAACCCATGAAAGGATAAGGAGTTTTGTTTAAATTTTCAACAAATTCTGGCTTGGGGAAAAGCTTAAACATAGGCGTTTCCAACACGGAAAGCCAGTGTTTTAGGAAGAATGTGGGTGCCTAGGGAAACGTGGTCTTTGGAACTTGAAATTTGGTCCATGATCCTGCCATTTCTTATGGGGAAATGTGTAATTGTGCCATTTGATTTAGCTGGAAAGGCCAACCTGAAGTGCATATAGGCCACACACTCGCTGCCCACATCTGCTCCCTCTGCCTTCCCTCAGGGTGCTGCCGTGCAGTGGGACCCTCCTGCCCCGGGAGACCCACCGGGAACAGAAAGTAAAGGAAATTTGGATGCCGCTCCTGTGAGCAGCGCTGTGGAGACCCGCACACCCCCTGCCCCTCCGGGTTCCCCCATCGCTAACACCTCCCGGTGCTAATCGGGGAGGGGGAGGTTCTCCTCACATTTTCATCGGTTTTCTCACGGGCACAAAGCGTCTGGCCGTGTCCCCGCGTCACCCTGGTGTGAGGTGGCGCGGCGGGGCCGCTGAGGGGAGCGGGAGGCGGTGCCTCGCCAGCGCCGTGGGCGGGGAGGTGAGGGACGGCCCCGCTGCCCGCCTGCCGCCTCCTTTCGCGGGGCGGCTCCGCTGCCCCACTGCCTCCCTCCTTCAGGGGGGCGGTGCTGCTGTCCGCCTCCCTCCTCCTTAGCCTGGGGCGGCATCTCCTCCCGTTTCGCTCGGCGGGCGACTGCTGGAGCGGGCACAGCGGCTGCGGGATCGCTCTGCACCGGGCCGGGCTCCTCTGCCCCGGTAGGTGCCGTGGCGGGGCCGAGGGTCGGGAGCTGCCTCAGCTGCTGCGCAGCGTGGGGCGCGGAACGGGCTTTTTAGATTCGTTTTTAAATGTTTCTGAATTTGCAGAAAATGATCAACAGCGCTGTGGTTTGAGCCTGCAAAAGGCCGGCGGCCAAGCCTCTGCGCTAGGCTAAAAATAACCTGATCCGTGTGTACTGGGCTGCGCGTACACCTGGAGTTCAGCATTTCACCCGCATGGCTTTGCAGGGCAGTGCACATAATTTTAATGCCTACGCTGGTAGAAGTCCCCAGTGGTGTTTGTGACCGTGGAACAGCTGCTGCTGTGTGGCCGGGGCTGGGTCCGCCGTGACAGCCCGGGACGGCCCCAGGACTGCTCGTGTACATGAGCTTGATTAAGGCCGTGGGGTACTGCTCAAATGCTTACAAAAAGTCAGCGATAGGTGATTTTTCAGTGTATTTATAGCCAGTTGAAATGTCGGGGCTATTAATGGCAATGGAAGAGCATTTAGAAGTTGTGTAGGAAGTTCCTTTTGAGCCCTTTTGTATCCCCGTGTTCCGGGTACTGTTGACATAGTATTTATTTGTATGTTTGGCAGAAGGGTGGACTTGACTCGGAGGGGTCGTTCCTGTGCTTCACTGCTTGTAACTCTAAAAGCCATTTGTGTTTCTGAAGCCTCACTGTGTTTCCTTGCACAGGATTTTGGGTCTCAAGTGCCTCGGACTCTGAGCTGGTGCAGACAAACTCACCCATTTGCTTCATGAATTTTGCATCGTTTCTCTCTAACTCTCAGGCTCTTGCAGTCCTTATCCCAGCTGTGCTTGTGGGCAAGCTGAGTGTGGTTTGTGCCATGGTGTTTGCTGGAAGGGACCACCTCCAGTAAAGCTTCTCATTAGAAGATCTGTCCTTGGTAAGACAAGGTTTTCAAAGGTAGACAGTGAGTTGAAAAATCTCTGTGTTTTTTTTTTAATCTTGTTTTTTATCACAGCTCTTATCTAGACTCACTAAACCTGTTTTCATGCAGTGGTGCAGATGAGAATTGACATTTGCTTTGCAAGGGTCAGTTGGGTGTTTGTAAAGCACAGTAGTTCATAGTGTGCTACAGGACATTACACAGCTAGTGGGGGGGTTGTTCTGGACTGTGTTATGTAGCTTCTTGTCTGTAGTTCATGACAGTGATAATAATTTTTAAGGTGCATAGTTGCTTAGGTTAAATTTTAAATTAGTATCCTAATAGTGTTAATCTGAAAGGCAACTTCTCTCTTTTAAGGACAACCCGCTTGTTACTCTTACAGGTATCCTGCTAAATGGCTTTAGCTCATGTGGTATTAAATGGAAAGGGATTTAGTATTACACCAGGGAGAGCTGGGTCATCCTTGCTCTAATGTTTCCTTACAAGAGGAGCTGGGACTTCTGTTACAGGGCAGTTCCTGCTGCCCTGTCCTGTGCTAAAGAGGTGCAGAAGGGCGTGTCTGAGCTGAAACCATGGGTTAGGAATTGCTGGAGATGCTCCAGTTGTCTCTTTTGCCAACTAGAGCGGTCCTGTCGCTCACCTCTTCGGGGTGAATTAAGGTTTAGATGCTGAGGCAGCTGGAGGGCCTTACTAAAGAGTCCCACCAACCCAACAGTGCTTTGTAACAACAGATATCTGCAAGAAATCTGCAGCTGCTGTTTTAACAACGCTGTGAGGTGGTTTCTATGTGTTCTCATATTAACATGCTCAGCAGCACAGTGGGTTGGCCTTGCAGCTCGCCTGCTCCTCCTGGTCATGTGGCTCTTGGGTATAAAGACAAGAGAAAGAAAAATACTTGAAACAGGCATTGGGAAAACACAAAAATTAATAGAGACTTGAGCAGGTTTCGTAAGTGGCTGTATTTTAAATTATCTTCATTTTGAATTATGTAGTACAAGGCTGATTAAAAAATGGCATAAATTTTCAAAGTGGATTGGAGTGGGTAGTTTAAATTACAGGTTGTGTGTGTTAATGCAGGCTTGGTTCAGTGCAGTCCTAGGAAAGCTCCTGTAATAGATATTAAAGATTAAAATATCAAAACAAAGCAGCATTAGTAACAGGAATTCACAGATAGTACAACTTTATGCCATAATGCAAAAGCACAGAATATAAGCCTTGGGATGAAGGATAGGCTTTTTTAATAAGGTTTTTCATCAAACTATGAGGTTTAGAGCAGTGTTTGTGTAGTTTAAAGTTTGATTATTGAATTACTTTTAAAGAGTGTGTTACGTGAGGCTTAGTTTTAGTACATACACTTGCAAAGTAAACACCACAAGCACTTTACAAGACATAGGGTTCCAAGAAAAACTATGAGACTTTTATAAACACCATTAGCTTTAAATAGAAACTGATGTGTGTGACAATGTTTGGTTTGCACAGCAAGTCACAGGAACCCTTAATGTTTGCACTCGCTGCTGCACAAACCTGCATTCCTGTTGCTGCTGCTGCTTTTCAAACTGTTGCGTACCCCCTGGATCTGCCCATCCTGTGACAGCAGGAGTGAGTGCAGGGCAGCAGTTACCTTGTGCTGGCTGAGATGTGGGAATGCTGCCTCCATCAGAAAGGCAGGAACCAATAAGATGATGCTGCTGGTGAAAGCTGCCGTGTGTTACGGCGCTGTTTCTGTGGTGACCAGTTTCTCAGTGGCTGTGGAGTGGGAGCTGTGCACACTGCTGGAGGATGTATTTATCTCTCTGTTTCTTGGAGAAAGAAGGCTGAATATGCAAAGGGCTGAAGAACAACAGTGAAGTAAAACTGAAAACCTTGGTTTATTGTTGTTTCATTAGGCTACCTGCGTGAAAACCTCTGAGTGAAGAACTAAACAAAGTGACAGAAGTGTCTGCTTTAAATTGCATGCTGTTGCTCAGGCAGCATCAGACCCACGTTTTGAAAATTCTCACTAATCCTCTATTTGGTAGGGGCCAGTTGTTTCACAGTATCTAGGCAAACCTCCATCTCTTCCAAGGCCTTTGATCATTCTTCCACCTCATTTTTCTGCAGTGTGCTGCACTTTCAGCAACATGTTCCTCTGTGAACCATTTGGCTGTTTGGAGCTAAAAGCCAGCTTAAATCTTGTTGACGGTGGAAAATTTTTTTATGTTGTCCTAATAATGCTCTCTAACTCACTTAACTATTGATTTGTGTGCAATATCCTTGAGAAGACTTGTCCTGAAAAAATTTGAACACCTGCCTGTGGTGCTCAAGGTCAAACCCCTTCGTTTCTAAAACTAGTGTTGTGAAACTCAGGATTTCAAATGAGAAAGATTAAAAGCATTTGAAGGAGGAGATAGGAACTAGTACTATTCTCTACTTGGTTACCTTCTTTTTTCAGTCCTGTAGCACTTTAAAACCAAAAAACCTTCTGGAAACCCAGCTATAGCAGTGAGGTGTTCAAACTCCATGTAAGTACTGGGGGATTACTTTTACAGAGCCATATGCCAATGTGTTGGTTTTATTGTTTGTTTTTGTTTGGGTTTTTTTTCTTCCAGTGTGCTGACATCAGTTTTATACATAATTTGTTCTTTTAATAATAATATTTTTTTTTTCTCTCCCACCCAGCTTCTTCCCTCCATTTGCATGTGCTTTGGAATAGTGGGTGTTTCAATCCTGGTAGGAGTTAAACCAACCTGCAGCAAATATGGCAGACGAGGACCTTATTTTTCGTATGGAAGGCATTGACAATGCCAGAACGGCCACAGCGAGCTCTGGGGATTACCTTGATGCTGACAGTGATGACGAAGACAGTTATTTTATCTGTCCAATAACTGATGATCCAGTTTCTGACAAGTCTGCCAATACCAAAGTAGACAATTATTACAGCAGCTTAGCAAAAAGTGAGCAGTACAGTTCAAGCTCTTCTCCCAGAAGCTTTAGCTTTAAGGTAAGTATTGGCTCCATCCTTCAGTAAGGTTTTGGTTTTCCTTTGTTGGCATGAGGCATTCTCTAACTGCTTCACCTCTCGTAACTAACAAACACTTTTCAATAAAAAAACACATCTGTTTTTTTCCAGACCTGCAGTTAATTCCATTAAGCCAATAGTCTGACACTGCCATGGAATTGCTCACTGTCCCTTTTAGTTCACCTACAAAGGTGGCCTAATCCAGGCGAGCGATTCACTGCCCTTCTGATCAAACAGTACATTGACTGAGAGACTCAGAAGATTATACACTTGTTGTGAGCTAAATTGGGGCCTGTCAGAGGATAATTTACTATGGATTTTGCTAATCCATAATATTTTTAGTTGGGCAAATAAAATTGTAAATGATAAATGCTGGGTTTCTATGTAGTAATTCCTTCTAAGGGAGCTTTTGTCACATTGACTCTCGTGCTTGGGCATGAAGTGTCACACTGGCAGTGGTTCTGGCAGTGTACTCGAGCAGGATCTGACCTTTTTGAGATGAAGAGCAGTCCCAGCATTGCAGGGAGGTTGAAAGGGCCGCAGTTGGTGCTTCCTTGGCAGTTTGTCCTGTTTCCCTCGGCTCCCTTGGCACAGGTCAGCCCAGGGAACGGAGCCTCAGGAATGCAAGTGACACCCACTCTGCAGCTTAGATATTCCAAATATACACCATCTGTGGTAAACTGGCATGTCTCTTAGATTTTGTCTAGACTAGGATTTAATGTGTTTTATTAACACGTTTCTTATTATAAATATTAACACTTATTTAATAGATACTCTGAAATCTCGGTTATGCCTAATGCATGCTTTATTTGTGAAGAGATACCAGGGGGGTTATTTCAGTCAGATAACATCTAAGGTAACACATGGAAAGTGAACCTGGCTTGTCTGCAGCAAGATTTTTACCAGAGGTAGTTAACAAAACCATTAAAAGGTACATATTCCTAAGGAAAGTGAAGAGTAAGAGCTTAGTATAGAAAGGGGACAGATGGTAGTGTATTCAATGCTAAACAAGTTATGACCTGACAGGGAGCTTAGTCTTCATCTGTGTGCACATTTTAGCACATAGTAAACACTTGCCTCTGGGTTTGCAGTGCAAGTTCTGAGTCATATGGCCTGAGATAAAACTGATAAGGCCTTCAGAAATTGCAATTATTTCCTCCTTCCTAACCTGTCATTTTGTTTCTGCAGAATGTTTGTGGCCATGCTTCGGTCTCCGCAGTGTCTCGTTTGGCACTGTGGCTCCTATCACAGATAAAGTGCTCTGTGTTGAGATGTGCAGAAAGCAAGTCTCCATCTCCTGATTAATCTGCAGGAATGGTGGTTTCCAACACAGTGAAGCAGACAGCCAGGACTGATAACATCCCAAAGCCCACAGCCTGGGCTGATCAGTGTGCCTGTCAGACCCCAAAGCTAAAGGCAGTGTGGGCCATTGGTAATGAAATGCAGAAACTTGCTGTTAACCCTCTGCCTTTAAACAGGACTCAGCAGTGTTTAAGTAGCCAGTTAATAGGCAAGACCCTTTTAATGCATGCTTTCCAATTTAAAAAATCGCCAACTTACCTCACTAGGTTTGTTCGCAGATGTTCTAAGAATGAACTTAAATTGGGGATATGAATTGAAGAGTGGCATTTAACTGGAAACTTTTTTTTTTTTTTAAACTAACAAAGAGAACCAAGACTCTTTGTCAATCATTTGTCTTATCACATGTATTTTCCTGCTTTCATGTCTCTCATGGATCCTTTAGAATGACACACAGCATCGTTCTAAGCATGGCTCTGTGGTTGACCATGGTCGGGTAGGTTAAAAAGAAAACGTGAACACCATATCTAATAGATAAATTTTTTTTTTCTTTTCCTTTTACGGACTTTTTTGTTCATTATATTATTGTCTGGGAGAACTGCTTGCCTCAGCCCATAACAGTCATTAAGCCAAAACTAAAAGAAGTACCTGTTAAATGAAATAATCCCCATCTTTTGTTCTGTGCCCTGAAATGTCTCTGTGTGGCAGCCACATGCCTCCAGCAGGAGAAAAATTGCACTGGTAGCACCATTTCCCTGAGGTCCAATTTCTGTTTGTTTGAAGATCAGAATACAAGTTTTTGATCATGAGATCATGCACAAGTAATTAAGTGATTTAAATGACTTCCCAGCATGGACACAGATCACCTTTTGGAGAGGGAATCTACTCAAGAATGATTTGACACAGATGATTCACCGAGCAATTCTCCTTGTTGCTGTCTCTCCCTATTTCTGTCACATGTATTTAAGTATGGAAGTTCTCAGGTCCATGTGAAATACCTGTCATTGTATGACTTGAGGCAACTTCATTTGCTCATGAAACATAGGAAATCTGTATCAACATGTCCTTTAAACTTGTTTTATTTAGTATAGTATTGTGTTCATCTTATGGTATTCTTGTCAGAAAGGGGAGCACTTGAATTGTTTGCAAGGTGTGCAAAGTTACAGCTGAAATTCAGAATAAGCATGAACAATTTAAAAGCTCAGCTGCTTCAGAAACTTCCTTGATGTCATTGCTGACACACATTTATACTGTTGTTGTTTTTTTTTTTTTTTTCAATTGACTGATTTAAATTCAGGGTGTAGAGGGACGAGAAATTCCCAAATTTTAAAAGTTGCTTTTCTACACACTTAAAATTCAAGGAGACAGTAACAATACCTCAGGGCCCAGTATTTTGCTGATGGGATGCAGAGTACTTTTTCTCCTGCTCACCTTGCAGAAGGCATTTGGCACATCACAGGCTCATATCTCCAGTTTTCTTGGAAAAGTACAATGTAAAAAGAGGGAGATCAAAGTGTTAAGAGAAAAGCATCCAAATTGACTGGTAGTGGAAGACTGTTGATATTCCATAAAACTACTTTGATGTTTTACTGTTGACTTGGTGAACAATGAAATAGCTACTTGTCTGGAATTGTTACAATAATCAATTTATAAAACATTCTAATTTCTTCTTTCTTATGCTGAGCACAATCTGGGGTCTTGGGGTTCACAGAGCTTTTTTCTTTGTCCATATTAGCTCTTCTGCTAAAGGACTTTTTTATGCTTACACAAATACATGCTGTTAGTTACAAAACTGTCCAAACAGTAGAAATGAATCAATATCATCTGGGTGTGCATTAATGCCATTTGCAGTGTGTGCTGGAGATATTTGCAAATGACCACAGGTTTGATAAGTTGTGTTTGGTACATACTGTACCACATTCTGTTCTCAGTAACTTCACAGCGGTGCAAATCGAACTGAAACCTGATGATTGATATCCCTGAGCTGTGTTTTGTTATAATTGAAACTATAAAATGTCAGAGTGATCTTTGGTACTGCTCTGTCCCTGCTCTGAGTAGAGCTTTGAGGGCTTGTGTGGTTGCACACCTTCCTAGCATTAGGATCCTGATTTGGTCTGAAAAATGCTGGGTTTGTGAGCTGCTGGTGATTATAAATAAACTGCCAGTTTGTAACTTCTTCAGGAAACCTGGAAACATGCTATTGAGAAAGCCAAGCACATGCCTGATCCCTGGGCAGAATTCCACCTGGAGGATGTTGAGACAGAACACGCCACTCGTTACAGGTCTGTGGGTCTTTGGCTGCTGATGTTAAACACAAGTGCTGGTTTATGTGTTTGTCTAGTGCAGAATATCTGTAATTACATGGCTGAAAATCTTTCAATAATACCCAAAGTGAGTGTGTCTTAATCTCCCAGGAGTGTATAAATACTGTCCATCATCAGAAAATAAACCTTTCAGCAAACCAGTGTCACACTTTTTCTCCTCCACCTAAGCTGTATCTAGGACTTTAACCATGTAGACAAGAAACAAGGCTGAGAAGTGTTGTCTAGTTGATTTATTAGTGCTGTAAACTTAATCTAATAAGGAAATGAATTCCAATAAAGAGGCAGCATACTTAGTTTAAATAGTTTAGAAAAAAAAAAAAAAAAGGCAACATAACACTCGATGCCTTACCCAGAATAGCAGTGTCAGTGTTACCAGTCCATGCAGAGTTGTTGCTTGTGGCTGGAATTTAAATCCTTACAAAGCCCAGAATAGCTCAGCACGGTGTACGTGCTGAAACCGAGTTTGGCCATTAAACTGGGTTTAGTGCTTTAACACAAGCTCTGCCAAAATATTTACTCTGCTGACACAGGTTTCTGGGTGGAAGGGGTAGGGGTTAGAGGCCAGTTAATCACCACTTAGCATCAGTGTTGGGGAGGCCTCCCTTCCGATCACGTACCACTGTCGTGCAGTGCTGCTCTTCCCCACAGACTGCATCTTGCAGTCCCTGGTCAGCCTCACAGTCCTGAAATAGTTTGCATATTATAAAAGAGAAGTAATATTGGGTTAGGGCTACTCAAATACCCTGTTAAGAAGAGGTAGGTCTGATGTTCTTATTTCCACCACTATTATCTGATACAGTACTCAGTGCAGGTTGGGGGACTCAGGCTGGAGACAGTTGTGTTGGTGACTCAGTTGCTGTGGTTCTTGATTTGGCTTTTACTGTGTTGGGAGTTAAGGGGGTGGGGAGAAACCACAGTTGTACTCTTTGTATTATCACAGGGTTGTGCAGGGACTTGCTCCTCCCCTGGTGCAGTGTTGGGCAGTTCTTGGCCCCACTGCTTCTCACAGCTTGTTGTGCTCACATCCTCCACAGCCCTGAGGCAGACTCTGGGGCAGAACCAGCTTTATGCAAGATGAGGATTGGTGAATGCAACCTGTCCAGTGTGTAGAGCTTGGCAGGGCTCTTTCTGCTCCCAGTGTGCTGCCCAAGCATCCCAGAATAGGCTTAACTTCAAAGCAGTTCAAGCCTGATTTGTAGTGTTGCAAAAGTGTGGCTTCTGCACTGCAGTCTGTTCACTGTCAGAGGATTCAGTGGCTTCAAAGAGTTAATCGTGTTTTTGCTTTCCTGTCTGAAGCAAGGAGTGGTGGGAAGTCTGGAAGCTTTTATGTTGGAGTGGCAGCAGCACTTTGTAGCACTGAGTTGCAGATAAGGAAGGATAGGTGCTGGGAATAGCAGGATTTGGGGTCCCTCTGCATTTTTCTGAGACACATCTCCTGATTTTGCAGGTACAATGCTGTTACTGGGGACTGGGTTGAAGATGAAGTCCTTATCAAGATGGCTGCACAAGTAAGGTCACACTCTCCTTCATGTTCATTAGCAGCAAGTTTGTAATTCTTTTGTGTTCCAGAATGGTGGCAGCAAGATGTTTTCCTCAGAAGTTTTGAAGTCTCAGTGTAACTCATTTCTCCCAACTCTCTGTTTCCTTGGCTCATTCATTATGTTGTGATGTCCCAACAACTTTTTGTCCCCAGAGTGGAGTAGAAAATGGAGTCAGCCCTTCCCTGTCAGCAACGTGAGGCATTTGTTCCATTTCCACTGATTTCCCTTCCATTTCACCCCTCCCATTTCCTCCTGGCAAAATTTCCCTGCCTGGCCATAGTCCTACTATTTTGTGTGCATCCAAGTAATTTCTGCTCTTAGGATGAAAACCCAGTGAATTTGCTGTATGTGAGGTCGAAGCTGCTGTCACTTCTCAGTTCCATGCTGGGGTCGGTTGTTCACTGCTGGCACAGTGTGTGATGTGTGGGGAGATGATGCCCTGCTGGGCACATCCTGTGTGGGGGCCCAAACGCAGGAAGCACGAGGTGTGCAAAGCCACCTTCTCCAGGCAGGCACAGGGGGCTGACTCCCAACTGCAGAGAGAATTTAAATAGCTTATTTGAAAGAGGTGTCTGCTCCATGGGGTATTGAGGGGGGCTTATTCCAAATGTCTTCTCCCAAGATTCCTCTTTACACTGCCAGTGGGTTTTCACTTTTCTTTGAGAAGATATTTTATAGAGCCTGTTTGAAAACTTGCTTTCTGTGGGATATAAAGGGTGGGGGGAAATATGGTTGTGTCTCTTAGTGGTTAGAAATGAACTTTGTGGAAATGGCAATGCTGGGTTTTTCTTTTTCTTTTCCGTAGCCTTTTGGCCGTGGAGCGATGCGAGAGTGTTTCAGAACGTAAGTATCTGCTGACTTTATCTTGCTTGGCCTCCATGCAGTATTTTCCTCTGCGATGGCTGGAATTTCACTTTGGTGTGGTGGAAATTTTGTAAAGCTCTCGAGTTCACATGAGCTCTCTCGGAGGCAAAATACTCGTAAAAGTACAGAAATGGTTACCTTCTTTCTGTGTTCCTGGTGTGCTAAAATATCTGAAAATATGATATGTGGCCATAGGTGTGTGCAGCCTGGAGACCAACTTGAGGCCTATAGTTGGGTAGAGAAAAGGAGAAAAATATTTGGATGATGCAGTGTGAATTTGGAAAGCCTCCATCAGTGAAGATTATCCTCCCAGAGTTTACTTTAGATTCCATGTATCAGAGTAATCCTATTCTGAGTAAAGCAGAACTTTAACAGCTGTGCTTTCCAGAAGGGTAAAGTGTGGGGGAAGACAGAGGAGGAACGTTTATTTCCTTGGAGAGTCTAGCAATTGTTGTGGGCATCAGCATCCAGTTTGTGCCAGAAGAATATCTCACCCTTTCCAGGCTCTGGAAACAAATGTTTTCTGGAAAATGTACCTGTGTGTGTTTAAGAACATTTCCCCTTCTTCCCAGCTGTGTAATCTAGAGAAATTGCATTTCATGTGTGGTTTCACTTCTGGAAAGGTAGATACTCCTGAAAGACAGAAACATGATGTTTTGAGCTTGAGCAAAAGGGAAGAAAAGTAACCCTTCAGTGCTCCACTTTGGTGTTGTTTCAGTATCAGTTCATGTTCCTGGTTGTGTTCTGCAAAGCCACAGAGATACAGTGGTGAATGAAGCCTGGAAAGTAACAAATCTGAGCCTGCTGACGTTGCTGCTGACATTGCTTTTAGCTCTTGTTATTTACCAAATTCCCCTTTTCACAGTATTTTGAGAAATGCCATAAACAGAAATTTGTTAGCAGCTTTGCTTTAACCTCTTAGACAAGGAGATCATGACTTGTATGTCAGCTTCCCACTGCTGGATTTTCCAAAAGTCCCAGTGGTGCACTGATAATTCCCAGCTGGAGCTCTCTCTTCTAGATTTTTGTAAATCTGCAAGTCCTCGGTTGTGTCTGGGTGATAGTCACTGCTGTGTGTTAGGAACATGGCAGTTTGCTTTTATTCCAGGAGAGGTTTCTCTCAGTTCATGTTTGAAATGCCACTCCCTGTTAATTTCTGCAGAAAATAATTGTTGACATTAGAACACGGTGTTGAGGTGGCAGCAACCCTTCATGCTCTTAGTTTGAGGGAAACAAGGAGGGAAAGGAATTGAGAAAAGGAGGAAGCCCAGAGTAGAACAAGCTGCAGCCAAACCAAACATTTTGCCACGTCCTAACCATTCCCATGGAACATTTAATTTTCCCTTGTCCCTACCTGTACTTCATGTTTCAGCCAGAACACCTGGTAAATAATTGAGGGTAATGCTGATCTTGGGGCCTGGCTCTGTCCGTGCAGGCAAAGAAATGGCAAAGATTGAAGTAAATCTCTTGGGTTTCCTTTCACCAACAATTTGTGTTTCAGGAAAAAGCTGTCCAACTTCTTACACACGCAGAACTGGAAAGGTGCCTATAACTATGTGGCCAAGCAATACATAGAGAGTGTGAGCAGGGAGGTGTATTTTGAGGATGTCCGACTGCAGATGGAAGCAAAGCTCTGGGGAGAAGAGTACAACCGGCACAAGCCACCCAAACAGGTACATCCAAAGTCCTGAGCAAAAATGCAGCCTCGCTCTCCTACGGGAGTAGTTTTCAACTGAATTCAGAAGGAATTGCTCGTTCACATTCCATTACATTGAAATGCTCTTTAACTTCTCTTGCCCTCCTGTGTTTTCCATGAAACGATATTTTCTTTTGAATTAAGTAAATGCAGAAATTGCTTTGTATTTCCTGAATTAGGGGCTGTGTGTTCGTGAATGTCTGACTGTTCTCAGCTGTTGACTGGAGACCAAAATAAAATGGTGTTTGTATTGCTCTTTGAGATGTGTGCCAGCTGCTTTTGAGATAACCAGAGATGTCACAGAATTTACTGCCAGCAGCAGTCTCAGCAAGCACTTAACTGTTAGTGCTCCGGGAAGGCAGATGCATAAATCTTGTAGACCTACCCAAACACGTGACTAGCATTGATTTTTAAGAAGAACTGGAAACCTGGTGGAAGCCTTAACAATTTTAATAGCCAAAATTAGTGCTTTTGAGTATGTGGGGTATGTGCACTGCCCTCCCATCCGAGGGTTAGGTAATAACTGCCTGTTTCACAGCAGCAAGGTGAGGTGTAGAGTGAAGCGCCCAGAGAGGCATCTGGAAATCTAGAAGTTATAAATGCCATGTGGAGGAAAAGGAGTGAAAGAGTTGTGATGATTTCTCCTTTAGGAATGTGTCTGGAACAGAGGGAGTGAGTAGGGCAGGATACAGAGATAGCCAAGTGGTAGATACCCTCAGTCCTTCTCTGAAAAGGTGTTTCTCCAAGTTGTGCTGCAGTGACTGTGTGATTTCCTCTCTGGGTGCAGGTTCTTTGCCGTGCACTCTTAGGGTACTCACAAAATAAAATAGAAAGCCAGTACTTGCTAAGCATTTTTCAGAGGGATTTGTTGCAGGAGTGAGCTGTTTTGTAGTGTCTGCTTTTAATTTGTGGAATTCCTCCAATGGCCCAAGAAGCATGTGACTCTTCCCCCACCCCCTTGTCAAACAGGATCTTTGCAATTGTTCAGCTTCTTGCCTTGGGAAAGTTTTCACAGCTGGAGGATTCACACACGCTTTGATCTGAAGACAGTATTCTGTTAGCCATTGTTTATCTTCTTTTCCTCCCCAGGTGGATATAGTCCAGACCTGTATTATTGAAATGAAGAATAGACCTGGAAAGCCTCTCTTTCATCTGGAACATTACATTGAGGGCAAATACATCAAATACAACTCCAATTCTGGATTCGTGCGGGACGACAACATCCGTCTCACTCCGCAAGTGAGGCTTTGTTTAGTGCTTTCCATAAAGTCTGCTGCAGGGAATGTCTTGGCTCTATCCAGAGGTCTTGCATTACTGCCAAGAAAGGAAACTGCAGGCTCTCCAGTACAATGCCAAATTAATTTCTCTATTTGCACTTTGTTGGCCCCTTCCTTGGGGCCTGCTCGTTCAATCGCTGAGTGCTGCTTTGTTGTATTTCAGCATCTGTTGCTTTTAGTTGAGTTGAACAGGGTTAATAGTCTTTGAAAAGCTTAAGCCCATTGACTTTAATTATAATTGCAGGCATTGAAAGATTTCAAACTTTTATCAAATTAGGGCAGTGAGAGAGGTCTCTCATGTACTATGTACTGAACAGGTTTTTTGGTGCCTCACGTAGTGTACAAAAGGAGGTGGCAGATATCCAACTCATGTAAATAACAAATCTAGGCCATTTGCACATAAAAATGTGGGTTTTTTCAGCTACAACCTCTGAAGAGCTGAATCTGAGACTGCATATAGAAAGGCAAGTACAGATTTCAAGCGATTCTTGGATCTTGTAGAAGAACTTTAAAATACTATTGAAAAATGCAAAATGGTCAACATAGCAAATGAATGTTTTACTGGGCCTGGAGTGTTTTGTTCATTATATTTTTTTCCCCACTATTTTTAAGGTATTTGTCATGATGCTTAATGTAAGCAGAGAATTTATGTTCTGGGCTGTCTGAATCAGTGCTGTGCTTTCACAGGTTGGGAACAAAATGTTCCATGGTATTTGCTGCAGTTAAAATGTTTGTCTATCACCACCAGTCACTTCCCCCAGCCAGGCCTGGCAGCACTTTTTTGGAGGCCTTCCCAGAAGATTCCTAATATCTCAGCTTTTTGCTGAAGAGAAGGGCTTTTTTACCTGATTCTTGAAATGTGTTTTTTGAAGAAGAGTGTAAGTGTACACTTCATTGTCTGACACAAAAATGTAGAGACAGAACAGCCCTTCAGGGGGACCTCTCAGAGGGGAAGGAGAATTTGTGGTGTGCTCATTTTTTTTTCAAAATGTGGCTGATCTTTGCTTGTTGGCAGAAGGCAGCAGTGTCCCAGAGATGCAGAGCTTGCAGATCCACAGGCACAACAGCCAGAATGTTTATAGAGAAGTTATTCTGCACTGACTTCAGAGCCCACTGTTGTTCCATCTGCCAGCCAGGCAGTCCTGAAGGTGAAAACTGTAGTGGGAAACAATCTCTAGCACAGGAAGGGGGAATAAAGCAATCTCCTCTCTCCTGCCTGTGTTCACTGCTGTTTTTTTCCCCTGCCTCTTTTAGCCCACCTGCTAGTTGGAGCAGGTTGGAGGGACAAGCCACTGTGTGCTTTTAGTCTCTTGCTGCTTTCATCATGATGTACCAGTTGTATTTCTGCCAGGGCTATCAGACTTGCATTTATAACAGGTGAATATCTGTTGCTGTTTCCAGTAGGTGAAGGAAAAGTGTTCTCAGACACCTTCTGTGGTTCTTTCCAGGCCTTCAGTCACTTCACCTTCGAGCGCTCAGGACACCAACTCATTGTTGTTGATATCCAGGGAGTCGGAGACCTTTACACGGACCCTCAGATCCACACGGAGAACGGGACAGACTTTGGAGATGGCAACCTAGGTAAAATCAGCCTCAGTAAAATCACTTGGACGTGCTGTGGATGCTTCTTTTCCGTTCCCAGCTCTCTGCTGAGTAGCCACTGCAGGGCTGGGTGAGCTGGCACGTTTCTGAAGGGGAGTTTTTATGGTGAGGAGTCCCTGAGCAGGGCAGCTGCCACCCAAGGGCACATTTCAAATGAGAGCTGATCTTAGCTCGTGCCTCCTGGCCTACTCTTAAACAAGTAATGAAATTAAGTAGCTTCCTGCAATGTGAGAGCAATAATCATGGCCTTTAATTTCCTTGCCACATTGCAGGAGTGGACACAGCTGAACGTGGAGAGGTAAGTGCTGCATATTTTTAAATCTGCAAGTGTCTATACATGAAGGTGTTCATAGGGCAGAGCAAGTTTTGTAAGCTGGATCAAATTTAGGCATGTTTCTCAGTGATACAGCCAATTTATCTTTGAGATTTCTGGCTTTTAATAAGTAAACCATAATATAAAATTCGGGTAAACCCTTTCTTCACTTTTTTTAATGCTGTAGGTGTTCGAGGTATGGCCTTGTTCTTTCATTCTCATTTCTGCAACAAGATCTGCAAAAGCATGGGACTTGAACCATTTGATCTTTCATCCAAAGAGAAAGATGCCTTGGATTATAATAAAAAATTGCTTGTAAGTACTTGAAGAAAAAAAGAAAGGATAAACTAGCTGTACTGCTTAGTTATACTAACTCTGTAAGCCCTGTAAATGGAACTGAAATACGCTATTTACGTGGAACATAAAAAGTACCTAATCATGAATGCTGCAGTTTAAATGCAGCAGTTTAAAGCTGACTTGTTCATACTTGTCTCTGAATTAATGCTGGAGGGGAACCTTGTAACATGGTGTGTATTTACGACCAAGTAGATCTTTGAATGCTGAAATCACTGTAAGTTTTGTATCTCACAAGCCTAATTTGGGTAATGAAAAAAAATAGAACTGCTTGTCTTTAATGGCAGTTTCAACTGATTTTAGTAGGAATGGGATTTGAAATGGAGTCCTAAACAGAACTCTGACTGTAAAAATGCCAGGACTTGATATTCTTTTGGGGTGTGGAACACCTCAAAGCAAATACTTCTGTGTACCTGTACCTCCTCTTCAATAGAGGACTCCTGATAAGCACCCATGTTGTTTTATGTGGCACGATTAGAATACACAGAGGGATTATTCACCTGACTTTGTGGTTGATTTGCCAAGGAATCTGCCCAGACCATCCTCCGGGGCACGGAGGAGAAGTGCGGCAGCAGCCGGGTGAGGACGATGTCGGGCAGTCGGCCCCCCCTGCTCTTCCGCCTGTCCGAGAACTCGGGAGATGAAAGCATGAGCGACGTGGCCTTCGACTCCCTGCCCTGCTCCCCTTCCTCAGCAACCCCTCACAGCCACAGGGTGGACATGCTTAGTGAGTCAGCCTCGTTCATCACCTCAGGGGGTTTCCTGGATGTTGGACAGAGACTTAACTAGTCGGGTTTAAACAAAACAGCGTATTGATTTAGTCCGCAATGCTTGTTTCTAATGTTGCTCTTTGAGCAGAAATAAAACTGAAAGGACTTCTTTGTAGATCATTAATGCATGGATGCTTCTCTGAAAAAAAACAGCAGCAAAATTATGACATCTAGAGCTTTCTCTTCAAACATGTTATCCTTACAGTAAGAAGCAAATATTTTTCTTCCTAGATTGGCCTGTGTTCAATGAAGTAGATAACTTGGTTCACAAAGACTATGATCAGCTTGATAACCAAAGGGTGAGTGTCTTTGTAACAGAAAACAAGGTCGCAGTTCCCTAATGACTGTGTCTTTAAAGGACTTCTCAACAAAGGAAGAACATTTTATTTTGAAATACTTTTCATTTTTCTTTTTCCACCAGAAATTTATTTGCATCTAATGTAGTTTAACAGTTAATTAAAGTGTGTGTCTGTTCCCCTGCCTGCATGTTGTATCTTGGGCACTTGTGCCAGCTGTTGTGGTATGAAAACTCAGCAGAATCCCTATGGATTAGGACTCTGCAAATCCTGGTACTGTGGGATTTACAGAACCTCACCTGAGGAGATGCAAGGAGTTTGCAATGGACATTTTCCAGTGCTAGACCTTAGTACCAGTTACTGCTTTATCTTTTAACTGGCTACCACTGAATACTGAAAACTGTATCTAGAGGACTCTTGATAAAATATGCGAGTCCTTGATTTATTTTTTGAATTTTTTTTATTTTATATTTATGTAAGGGAGAAGACACTCTTAGACAGTACCTTCTGTATCATTAAGTCATGTTCTGTCTGTCAGAGGTAGCACAACATACAATCATTTTCATCCTGTATGACCATCCAGTGTTTTTCACTGAACCAGCAAAGGGTTTGCTCTGTAGGAAATGTCAAGCTGAGATCCTTGCAAAGGATAATGCTAATGCTCTTCTGTTCTTGTGTTCTGTAGGATTTTGAAAATGGTGGAGACAGTGGATACCCCAGTGAAAAGAGAAGTGAGATGGAAGATCTGGATCACAGAGAAAGGGTGAGAACCTGACTCTGGGTTTAGCAGAGTTGGGCCTGTTCATACTTGAACTGTTTTCATAGAAGAATCTTATTTTTTATCCCTCTTGATCTAGGCTTTGTAAACAAAGGAACAGGCAGAAATTTCCACATGTTGCAAAATTACTTATTCGTCTTGGGAATGGCACTTTTACAGGAAAAAATGATTTGTGGTGAGGAGCTTAATTTCAAACACCACATCTGATTACATATTGTTGTGGGGTTTTTTTAAGTATTCTGTATTGCATCTGGCAAATGTAGCCAGCTTCTTGTCACGTGGAATCCACAAATATGATCTGCTTTCAGCCCCTTATCCTCTCTACTTTATATACCTTAAATATCACAGAGCTTAATGTTGTTGTCAGTTAATAACATGCAACTTTAGAATCCCCGTGGGTAAACTAGTCACTCCTTTAAAATACACACTTTGCTCTTTGACCTGAAGATCTTCACAAGATATTGAATTAGAAGGCAGGAAAGAGAACACAGATTCCAAAGGTACCAATCCTTTTGTCACCTTTGAAGCAGCAAGGTATTTGTCGTGGCATCTCCAGCTCACAGGTTTAAAGCCTGTGTGGGCCATGTTCTTAACCATTTGGGTGTGCTTCTTACTACTTTGGGATATCACTGAAAGAAAAGGTCCCAGTGGAAATGATTTTGGTCATGGTCAGTATTAATTCTGCTGGACAGGAAGAGCCTAGAGGGATAACTGGCAACACAGCAGCTGCTGCAAGTTAAATTATGTAAATCTTTACGTTAATGTAGGGCCATTCAAACAACATCCGGAGACAGGAGTCTGATGAAGACAGTTTGGGAAGCTCTGCAAGGGTAAATAAAGCAGAAATGTTCATAGACTGAGTCTGCTGCTCTGCTTGTCCTTTGTTCCACTCATCTAACCACATCACTAAATCAGATTGTTTCCCTCCCTTTTCAGCTACAGAATATTTATATCATTATCAATATTTGGTATTAATATCAATTAATACCAAACCACTCTGTGTTGTTTCCTTTTTTGTTTTGTCTTTACTTTCCAGTTAAAGAAGTATTGTTAAAGAAACTGTCACCTCTGTGACTGATCCCTGACATAAATTAGTGATTATGCATGGGTTTCTCACTTAAAAATACTAATTATAGTTCTGTGAATTTTTTTCCTGTCTGACTAGATTATATTTCCTTTCCGTACTTCATTTTTGGAATTGAATCCCATATGTGGTTGTATGATTTCTTGAAAACATGCAGTGTTTGAAATAGGTGACAGTAGCTGTCTCCACTGTGTATCTCACTGAGCTGGGGAAGGCCAGGCCTTATTGTGTGTTTTTACAAAATATAACTTCTGTGCTAATTGGTCTGTGGCTGTAAACTTAAACAAAAAACTACTCTGCAAGGAAAGAAAAACAGCTTTGACAACAATAATTTATTTAGATACACTTTTCGGAATTTCCTTGTAAATATATATTGCTGTTTCAGGAAATTGAAACAGCTTTAACAGAGTGAAGTTGTGTGCCAGGAACCTTCCCTGCTGTGTTCCTCTGGGTACCTCCAAAGACTTCCATTTTGATAGGATTGTTTTCAGCTACTGTTTCCCACCCGCCAGTTATGTGGAAAAATTTGTTCTCATTTGTGTTGCACCTCCTGAGAAACACCAATGCATGTTATCTGCCTGTCATCTTTTGCACTGTTACTTCTCATTTTTCTAGAGCTCTAGAATGCAAGCAGCATTTAAAATGTTGTGAACTGAAATTCTGATCATAAATGTTGTGGGTTTAATTTTTTTGTGCGTGAGTAACCTCAGTACTTGCAGTGTGACTATTCAGTTGCTTATTTTTATAAGTAACTTTTTTCTGATTCAGAACTTTGAGATGATTATTTGCTTCATTGTGAAGTGATGATGTTTGAATTAGACATAGAGGGCTTTATTTCTTTAGTGATGAATAATAACCATTTATTCAGCTACTAACATGACTTTTGAAAGTTGTGTCTCAAATTACAGTATTTACTAATAAGTAGCAATATTAATGGAGGCTTTGATTTCTGGATGGTAATCCATATATGTGAAAATTTTAATTTTGCATTTAAATAATAGTTTATTTCATATTTCAGATCAGTGTGGAGAAATGGAATCTGTACAACTCTTCCAGAGTTCATGTCCACAGACCATCCTGTGTTGCCCAAGAAATCCAGAGGCTCAATGCACTAGAACTTGAAAAGAAAATCGGGAAGTCAGTCCTTGGAAAGGTAGGATGGGTCTAGAAATCCTCTTTTTTCCAACTGGAAAGAAACATATTTATTACTTACACAGAGGTGTTGCCCTGCATGAGTTTATCTGTGCAGGTGAAAATAAACACATGCATAGCTTTGTGTCCCCTGACCATACTGTGTGAAGGACATCTAAGCTCAGGAACCCACGAGTTTCATCTGCTTTTGGACTTGCAGCATCTGGTCTCCTTTGGGAAGGACCCTGCTCTTGGTTACTCTGCCTTTCCAGAGGCATCATCCAGGACAGTTACAGTGGGATAGTTGTGGTGTGCCTGACCCATTTACCTGGCACACAGGCAGGGCTGGGCTCCGGAAAAGTGGTAGCACTGACAAGCTCTTTGTACTCCAGACTATTCAAGATAATGCAAATATGAATAACTTTGGGTTTATGCATGGGCTTAAGCCATGGTGTAGATCTTCCTGAACATCCTGAGAGCCTTAGGTGTTCTCAAAACTTTTGGTTTGTGAAGGAGCCAGTTTTTCCCCTTGGGGAAGGAAGTCAGAAAGTCCCTCAAAATCCCACGGCATGTTTGGAATGCAATCCCACCCCCCACTGATAATGAATGTTTCAGTGGTGTGAGGATTTTCCCCCTGATAGCCTTGATTTTCTGTGCCTCAGGTTAATTCCTCCCCTGGGAGGGCCCTTGCTGGGCACTGAAGTCTGTGCCCCACAGTCACTGCTGTTTGCCTTGCTGGCTGCAGTGCCAGGCTGGGTGCCTTTAACTGTGATTCCCTCCTGGAGCTCTCCAAAGCCCAGGCAGGTGTGCCGGGACATGTCCCTAAGACCTGGTAAAGGGTGGGCAGGAGGCTTTGGAAGGATGAGATCCATGAAATCCTTGTGCCTCTCCCCCGTGTGATGGTGCCGCAGGTCCACTTGGCCATGGTTCGCTACCACGAAGCCGGGCGTTTCTGTGGGAAGGACAAGGACTGGGACCGGGAGTCGGCCCTGTTTCACCTGGAACACGCTGCAGACTGTGGGGAGCTGGAAGCCATCGTTGGGTTGGGACTCATGTGCTTTCAGCTGCCACATCACATTCTTTCTGAGGTCACCGTGGAGGTAAACGCATCAAAGAAAATGCCAAAATGCAGATTGTGGTGCATTGTAAAAATAACATAAGAACAGCGGGAAACAGAGAGAAAACAGAAACCATCGTTAGGTGTTCTGTAGCTCCTCAGAGAAAAGAGATGACACTGTAATTAAGGACGTGGACAAAACAGCAAAAATTCCTGCCTCTTTCTGGTTTTGCCAGGAAATTACTGCATGCCTTTGGGAAGTTCCTGAAGTCATCTTCACTGCTCAGCTGCTTTGTTTCTTGTGTTGTGCCTGTTTCTCTGACACGCCAAACACTTGCAGCCATTACTGACATGGAGAAACTGCATTTAGTGTTAGAGGGAGGAAGGGATGGTGTTCCTCAGAAACATGCATTTGAAAAGGTTTGTTTGTTTTACCAGGACACAAAGGAGAACAGAAATAAAGGATTTAATTACTTGCTGAGAGCAGCAGAAGCTGGAGACCGGCCTTCCATGATCCTGATAGCAAGAGCATATGATACAGGTGTAAATCTTGGTGCAGACAGGTATGTCGCTTTTAATTAAGGATGATTTAAAATTTTAATAAGGTTAAAAATGCTTTTTCCTCAGTAAGTCTCTCTTAATTTGACCTTTCAAAAGGTTATACAGTAGCCTTTTGAGTTATTTTTTTATTTTAGAGTTTTAGTTGAGTTTTTGAGAGTGGACAAATACTAATTTCCTTAAGTATCAAATGATAGTGGTGATGATAGTGGTTTTCCTGTTTTTGTATTTTGGCATGTCCTTGTTATTTACATGAGTTTTCCGTTTTGCACAACAGTGAAACTTTGAATTTCACCTTTGCCAAACAACATTGCACTTCTAATTGAAGTGCACTGAGCATTCTCAGTAACCACACAACTGGTAATGAAGCTCAGACTCTGGAGACACTTCAGTCTGATACTTTCTCCTCAACCTAATTCCTGACCCCAGGCTGATTTTGCTGCAGTGACCTGATGCTGCAGTGCAGTCAGTGAGCCTCCATGACGATGTTTGCTTCCTTGGGAGCATTGAGGCTCTGAGAAGTCAGTGCAAAATTGGATTCCGAATCTCCAGTGCAAAGTACATTTGTTGCCTAAGGGAACCATCTTCAAAAATTGTGTTTAACTTCAGAGGCCAGGACTGGAAGGAGGCCCTGCACTGGTACAATGCTGCGCTGAACATGACTGACTACGATGAGGGAGGGGAGTATGATGGCACTCAGGATGAGCCCCGCTACCTGCTGCTGGCCAGGGAGGCAGAGATGTTAATGACAGGAGGGTTCCACCTGGATAAGGATCCACAGAGATCAGGTGAGGCTGTGTTTTGTTTCTGTAATCAGTAATCTTGCTTTTCCTTCCCTTTTACCCCAAAAATAGACTTCCTGCTTTATCTGCTACAAAACATCCAGGGGGTCAGTAGCTTTTGGATTTGTGGGTGAAGCTGCAAGGATGCTGGGTGTAACAAGGCTGGAAAGAGTGAAAGAAGAAATCTTGGCAATGACAGGGGCAGTGGGTGGTGCCAGGGCCAATCCTGTGACGCACTGAGTCACTATCAGGTAACCTTCACTCCCTTCTAGGTCGCTCTTCTGGGTCACTCCCCTCAGCTGCAGGTTGCTGCTTGTATTTTGAGTTACAGTCATGACTGCCAGTGCCTGCACAAGATTCTCCTCCTTGCTGTGTCACCTCCATGTTAAATGTCTGTGTCTTAGAGTCCTCTTGGGGGGGTCCCACAGGCCAGTCATGTTTCCAGTCCTTCAGAATCCATTGAAGAGCCATCAGCAGCCAATCGTGCAACTTTAACCCAGATTCCCAGCTGATGTGACTGACACAATTAAAACACACCCACACATCCTGGCTCTGCAGTTTGATCTCAATTTCTCCTTTTGTCCTTTGTTTGCTTCAGGCTAAAGTGATGTTTTTTCTTTACTCTGTCAACATAACTGATCCTGTCTCCTCCTCCAGGAGAGCTTTACACAGAAGCAGCAGAAGCAGCAATGGAAGCCATGAAAGGCAGGCTGGCAAATCAGTACTACCAAAAAGCAGAAGAGGCTTGGGCGATGATGGAGGAATGACACCGAAATGAAGCAGTTCCTGTATATAAATTTTTTATAGACTTGCTGCATTTGCAGCTAAAAAGCTATATTTTTATGTGATGTTACCAGTTCCTTTTTTTTTTTTTTTTTTTGTATTTTAGTTTTTAAGGGTTTTTTGAGAGGAGAAATTCAAATGTAACTATGTAGTGCGCCATAGTATAGTTCTGTTAGTGTTTTAAAGCTGTAATACAGACACACTTGACCTTTTGTACTTTTTTAACTGTTAGAGGGCTTAGTTTTTTTGACCAGAAAAATGAAGCCTTATTGTTTAGGTTTCACATGTCCTGGTTTTTTTGCAGCAAATGATCAGTGTGTTTACATTTTTCTTCTTCTCCCCATGCACAGAAAAACATTTTCCTAAATTCTCAGCAGTTCTTCATCATTTTTGGTGTAAGTCACCAAATTTGCACATAAGTGTAAATTTTCAGTTCATGGATGCAACTACTGATGTTAATAAGTAGTCCCATTCTATTATGCTGGTGTTGTTGGACACTTCTTTTATTCTCAGATGAATTCCAGATAGAATCCTTACAATTTGGAGAGGGGTGGGAAAGATGCTTCAGATTGGCAGTGAGGATGTTCAGGATGGAATGTTTTATTCATCACCAACATTGCATATCACACCATTAGAAAATCACTCGTGTTCCTGATGAGGTGAGGCATCCAGCTACCTCTCACTTCCACATTTTGCACCATATAATAGCTTAGTTGTATAGAATTCTATTGATCTTCCACGTGTCCAATGATGTACAGTAGCAAGATCTGTAATATATGGGTAATTTGAAGTTATTTTTACAGTGGCATCTCAGTTCTCAGTGAAGCTAGATCATCTCACTTAAAATGAGAATATGCTTTCCACCGTGTCCAGAGGGGTGTTTGAAAAGGTTAGATGATGTTGATTTGCCTTTTATATGTACAGAAAACAATTTATATGGTTTAAATACCTTTTAAAATGGTATTTTATCTGCAAATGGTTTCAAATGTCAGTTAGAGAAAAATTGCTGGTTAAAAGGGGAGAACAGTGTTATCCCCAAACACTTGTATTTGTGTCCTGTTTGCTCCTGACCAGTAATGGGAGGACAGCTACGTGGTGGTAGTTGAATTATCATTGCATAGAGAGAAGTTTCTTCCAAATCTTATTCCAAATTTTATTCCATCTCTATGGATAGTACAGAAGCTGTTCCTATTCCTTGGGTGTCATTTTGCAGAAGATTTAAGGTGGAAGCTTCTGCTTTCTTGGCCTTAGTCTGCTGAGGGTATAAATTGATGTCCGTAAGGGGCAGCCCCTGTCAAGTGCTGAATAACCTGTAGTGCTCACCACTTCAGCCAAGCTGGTAAAAACATGCTGAAAGCTAAGCAGGCTGTGAGATGGTGCAGCTGAACAGGATTTCTTGCATGCATAGCCCAGTAATATTAATTTCTTGTAAAATGCAGAAACTGCTGAAGGAGCAGAAGTAAGTTCTCCCTGTCCTGTGCAGTGCCTGTCACTGGGCTCTCGCTGTGCTTCCAGTTTTCTCTTCTTCTGGCAAATGGATCTTGAATTGCTGCTCAGACAATATCCAAGGATGATGTTAATAACAACTGCCACTGTCTGAGAGATCTCCTGGTGGTTAAGGGGGTGAGATATAAAGGTTTGAATCCTTTCAAGGAGAGAGGGGAGTTATCTTTGGATGTTCTGCTTCTGGGTGGGTGCTGTAACCACCAGGCAATTGTAGCCACGAGTGCTCTTACAACACTGTGACGGTTTGGCAGCATCTTGTGTGCATTGCAGGGCTCGTGGGACAGCACTGCCCATGGCCTTTTTAGTTTGTTTTTGTTTTGAGAGTGAAGGTGAAATATCTAATTTCTAGGTCTCAGTTGGTCTTTGGTGGTATTAAGGTACTAAAGCAATCAGATTAAAGACCTAACATGCTGAAAACGAACCAGAGTTTGTAGGATTGCAAGTCAGGTGAATGTTTGAAGTGCCTATCCAGAGTTCTGCTTCAGACACTTAAAGCCTCTTTGGCCTTTTTTGCTATTTCAGTTCATGGCATCAAAACTCCAGCTGTGACCTCAAAAGACAGCTGGATAGTCTGTGTTTTGTGCAGCACCAATACAGTGCAGGCACTACAGCAAATTCAGACTAAAGGGTTGGTTTTCCTCAGAAGGTGTTGATGCCAAGTCCTTGAGATTTTCCTTGAGGAGGAAGCGTGTGTGACAACACCACCAACCGTGTAGGGAGGAGAGGAGACTGAAAGTGCCCGTCCAAAATGTGCATGGAAAGGATGTCGAGTGTAATTATCGACACTTTTTGGTGTAGTTTAATTTGCCAAATTCAGTAGTTGCTAAAGTTGCTGACAGCTCTGTGTAGATCTGGTATGTAAATGTGCACACAACTCCGTGCAAAAATTACTATGATTAATTCTTTGTTTGCAAATACTACTTTTTAATGATGAAGACTGCCTTCTGTCCTAAGATGGTATCATATGATTTAGCCATACAATAAATGGGACTGTCAATAACATGAAAATTTTTTATGTTTACAGAAATAACTGTATTCTGTGACATTCTTTTGAAGGGAAATACTATATATTTGACAAACTTTTTGCAGTGATATTGCTACATGCTGTATTTTTAATCTATTCACAATGAATAAAAATCTGTATTTGTACAAAATGTGAAAATAAATCTGAGGCTCAGCCTGCCAGAACTTACCTGGGTTCAGTGTTTCCAGATGTCAGTGGGAATATTGCTTGGGTAAGGACAGTGAGATGGAAGCCTTTGTTTGTGTGTCAGACATGCAAATACTGCCTGCATCACTTAGTCCTCTCATTCACTTTGTCTGGTTTCATTCTGGCTGGCCAATAAAATTGTTCTTTTTGTCACTTCTCTCAGTAGAGTTTTATTTTTTGCATGTGGGGGTTTGCTTTTGGTTTCTTCTTTTATAATTTGCCAAAATTCAGTCCTATTATTGCAACCTTCCAGAAATTCTCTGTGTTGTTTGTATTAGTCCATCCCTGATTTTGTTCAATTTCAGCAGTCACAGTAACAAACTGAGAGGAAACAGATGTTACCAACAAAATCTGTTTTCCTCAAGAAAACTAAAGGGTTGATGTGCTCTTTGATTTGCATTTGATTTTAAACTTTCAAACTGTTAAAAATGGAGCTCTTGATGGTTTGGGGTTTTTTTTTTATTGCTTTATTTAAAACTTATTGTACCTGTGTAGTTTAAAAAATATGAAATTATTCTCTAGCACAGGCACTGTGAAATAGCAGAATCTCCTAACAAAAAAAGCCCCAGCTGGGCCTCTGCACTGTAGAATCACTAAGAAAAATGGTGAAATTTGGCTGTAGCTTTGTAGCCTTTGTAATCTGTAGCTATAGCTGCTGTCAGGGAGAGCTGGAGTGTTTGGCAAGGGTAACAAAGGAAGTGGGAATAACTTCTCCAAAAACCATGGAGACAGCCAACACTTAGAGCTTATAAAGTGTAAAAAAGAATATTGCCTGTTCCTTAATTCCTGGTCTATGGGACTGATTCAAATCTCCTTCTCTTCCCCACAGATATAATTTCACTCAGAGCAGAATGAGTGCTGACAGACACAGGTGTAGTTTAGATGGGCCAAAGCAGGACTGCTGAATTTGGGAAGGCAGAATTTCATTTGAACTTCAGGTTGGATTGAGGGCCAGTGCTGCTTCTTGGGGTGAGTCAGGCTGTTCTCAGGTTTAAGTTCAGGGCCTCATGTGCCTCCCTGGACCTGAGCCCTTCCTGGGGAAGCTCCTGTGTTTGTACCCATCGGTCCTGGCCCTTAGTCTGGACATGTTTGATACAGGTGTTGGGTCCTTGCTGTCCTCTGGCCAACTCCTGTGCCAGGAAAACCATACAATAAGGCTGGTAGCTTGCGGTGTAGTTTGAGTTCTCCTGAAGTTCACTCCTTTTTAATGTGAAATGAAAAACCTGGTGACCCAACTGCTCCCCCAAGGGATAACCTGTGCTGTTGTCCCCTGTGTCACATATGGCTGATGTGAATAATTTTGGGGACAGTCTTCCTTCAGCACTCGAGGGAAATGTCTCTGTGGCCAAGCACCCAAACATTCCAGGGACAGAGGCTGAGCTCAGCTGGGACAGGGCAGAAAAGCACTTCTCAGGGAGGGTGTTGGTCCATCACTGCCTGGGCAACAGCACCTGTGGGGCCGAGCAGCCCATGCAATAAAGGAACAGTTTGTGATGCGTTTCCATGCAGCCTCCCCCACACAGACACACACACATGCCCAGAGACCCCTAAATCAGACTCATTACAATTTTCTGCCTAAGCAGATTACTGCTGATTTGCTGTGTGAAGCCAATTCAGGTCTGCCTGTCTTCCCTCCTTTCCTGAACCTCTCCCGCGTCTCTGCAAAGCCAGGGCCGTGGGAGGAGCGTGAGCTCCTTCTGTTGCCAAAAAAATCCCGCACTGAAGTGGGGGTGTGGAAGTGCAGCAGCGCCGGAGGGGGAGGAGCCCATTCATGCTGACACGTGTGCGCTGTTATTCCTCAGGACGTGTAGGCAGTGAGTGAAATTTATACCAGGACTCTGCAAAGCTGCAGCCTCTCGCGGTGAGGGTGGTGAGACACTGGCACAGGTTGCTCAGAGAGGTGGTAAATGCAATCCCTGCAAACGTTCAAGGCCAGGTTCTGAGCAACCTGATGTTTAAGCAGAGAAGACAACACTAATTCCTGAAGAACACTTACCAGACTTTTAGGCAAAATATGGCCAGAGACTCTCAGAGGCACGTTCATGAGGGCTGCTGGTGCTACCGCCCCTTTGCACAGCAGTGTCCTGGCTCCTGCCTCTGCTCCAGCCTCCCTGTGCTGCGAGCAGAACACCTCAACCCCAGCCACAGAGCCTGCCAGCTTTTGGCTCTGCACATTCAGCGAGTCGTGACTTTGCAACAGAAAATTAAAACTTCAGAATCGGTTTTAGACTTTCGGGGTGGGTGTGTGCCGGGGCGATGCCCCGCGTTCCGCGGAGGCGACTGTGCTGCGCCGTGGCATCCACGTGGCAGCGGGGGCGGCGCGGAGGGCCCGGGCAAGGCTCGGGCACTGTCCCCAAGGCGCTGCTCGTCCCCGGTTACACCGCACAGCTGGACGCGCACCGGCCTGGAGACAGGGGTCGAACTGAACCCCACAGGGGTTCATTTCCCAGGTGGAAGGGGGGGTGTGGGGATAGCGGCTGCTGGGCCCGGGGGGATGCAGAGGGGAGAGGAAGGGAAAGGGCAGAAATGAGGTAAAACAGCCGACGCTGCGGGCGCTGCCAGGGCGGTAGCGTGGCCGAGCGGTCTAAGGCGCTGGATTAAGGCTCCAGTCTCTTCGGGGGCGTGGGTTCGAATCCCACCGCTGCCATTGCCTTTCCTTTTGTGCCGCTGGCCGGCACAGCGCCCCCTGGCGGCGGCGGCGGCCGCAGGGCACTGTGGGTAGGAGGAGGGGCCGCGTCCCCACGTGCCGGCCCGGGTGTCACCAACATGGCGGCTGCCTGAGGCTGCCCCCGCCGCACCGACACCGGAGCGGGGCAGCGGCGCCGCCCGCCCGGCCCGCACAGGTAGGGGGGGAACCCCCACCGCTTTTGCGCCGCCCGGGCGGCGGGGACTCTGCGGGCGGTGGCGGGGCAGGAGCGCGGCCTGGGCTGGGGTGGTTTCTGCCGGTGCAGGGAGGGCGGCGCGGACGGGACTGTCCGAGCTCTCGGCACCGGGGGGCAGCGGGGCCGCTCCGCCCGCACGGGGCTCGGCGTTGGACGGGAGCGGGCGGGTCCCTCCACTCCCGCGGGGGCCCCGGGAGCGCCGGCCAGTGCTGCGGGGGCTGCGAGCCCCGCTCCTCCCGGGCCCTGTTCCCGCAGCTCCCGCCCTGCCGGCACTCGCTGTCCGTGCCCGCACCGGCCCCGCGGGGGCTCCGGCCCGGCCCTCCCGCCCCGGGGCGGCTTCGCTCCGTCCCCGCGCTCGGTGCGGGTTGGGCGGTTCCCCGCGGCCTCCCCTGGGGTCCCCCCATTCCCGCACCCGCCGTGCTGCTGTGTCAGGACAAAGCTGGGTGCCAGGAATGCGGCGCCGAGCCCGGCGGGGAGCGCTGCCCGCGTGGGGCACGGCCCGGGCACCGCCACCCGCCCCGGGAGGGTCATTCACAGCCTGCCCCGGCGGGACCGGCCGAGCACGGACTGCGCTGCAGGAATGTTGAGGTGTTACTGGAAGGTTTGTGCTTAAAGCATGGTCTCTGAAACCCCTGAAGGTTCCCTTCACCTCCAGAGAGAGGTCCTGGTGCAGAGGAGCCCTCCTGGGTTCGCTGCCAGAAGATGACTGTGCAAAGCTGCTTTGCAGACAGGGAGAGCAAGGAGAAAATTAAGCCAGTAATTGGGTCAAAATGATAATTGTCATAAACATATGGAAGGTGCTTCGGCTTCTTTTTTGGAGATTCCATTTCACTGTGTGCCATGAGCCACCGTGAGCAAAGCGATTGCTGAGACAGCCCCTCCAGAGGAGAGTCAGGGTGCCAGTTATGGCAGTGATTCAGGAGATGGCACTTTTCCCACCTTGCTGGTTCATTTTTTTTACTTTAAGGCACTGATGCGTCAGGAATTCCCGACCTTTCCTGCACTGTATGATTATATACGTAGAATATATCAGGTTGCAGTGTTGGCACTTTGGAGGTCCATTATTACTATCAAATTTAAGTATGAAGGAAATGCTGGAGCATTTCATGCAGTCCTGGGTAAAAGCCTGCGTGTCAGATGATGTGCAGATTTGCAGTTTTCCTTCTTATGTTATAGTGTTTGATAATAAAAAAAATTAATCTCTAATATTCAAATGCCCTTTTAAGC